ACCAATGCATATCAACAAAACCCATAATAGATGTTTATTTTCGTTTTCAATGAGATGCATCGCTCGCGCCGATTTTATAACATATTGAGTGAATCATTGTTTCGCCAGAGCAGAAAATAACAAGAGAAATAAATAATAATATGATTTGGTCCCATTCGGTGTCGAGACCCTTGGTCCGTGAGGTCCTAGCGCTATAAGGCTTTTGGAGGAAATAGCAAATAGGTTAGTCGACATCACAGGAGACCGAAGAGCTGGCAGCTACCTCGAACAAAGATTTAGCTATTCAAAGGTGGAACGCTACCAGTATCTTCGGAACCTTGCCTATAGCATCCTCGATGTATCGATATAGTTCAGGATCCTTAGCGCTGATGGTTGAGAGTACGAGCTCCTTCAATAATCCTAATCATATAGGGCAAAGTCCAATGACTTGGCCAGGTCTCCTTCTCCCTGCTCTCAGAACTCAGAACAATTTCTGAAGCGCGGCATCCAAAATTAAAGTAAAGGAGGAAAAAAAGGAGATGACACTATAAGAAGAAGATGGTTGGGCCAAGGTTGCGAATCTTGACACAAAATCTCAACACTGAAGTCGGGATTTCTTACGCTATTGGAAGTTACAGAGACCAGCACCAGTCGACAGTACCAACCTTACACACAGACGCTTCAAATGCACTCAGTATCTGGGCCCTCTGACTCGAATACCAACAAAAAAATTAACTCCTATTGGTAATAGTTTTAATATTTTCATCATTAATGTACATCATGCAGGTTGTTGACATTTCTTCCGTCTTTTCGAAGGCTGTGTTAATTACTTTCAACAATTTCCGTGTACTTATAAGGATGGCCTTAAATAACTAAGATTTTTCGCATGACATGTTCGTCTATAAATGGGTTTTGAGGTTATCTAACATGTGTTTTTGCAAGGACATCAGGAAGCTTATAAAAAATTTCAATCAAAATTCGATATGGTAATCTGTTAATGTGTTTGAGATTCTGATGCTGCGAAAAATACGTAAATTTATTATATTTTGGCTACATTACAGCTACCGCACCCAACTTTAATAACGGCTTTAATTTTCGGAATGTGCTGCTAGATATGAATAAAGCTTATTAAAGCTTTTTAGCTAACGAGCTTATTCATTTACGTATACAGATGCGTGACAATATTCTAAACGATAAGAACTTTAGTGCGTTTATATGACTGGTTCATTTCGCTAAAATAATAATCCAATGGTGCGACCAGCCTATGTCTTTGGTCTTTCTTCTATTCTAGAATTACTAATTCCATTTCCTCATGTTTGCCTTTACTTAAAAAGCAAGCAAGTGTTAGTGCACAGTGTAATCATTTTGGTACAGCTGTGATTTTAATGCCCTCACGAATAAAATAAAATATGTTTATTATGGAACATAAGATACATGTATCACTTATTCCACGTCATTAAATTTCAATTTGTAGGCATCCCTACTCATCGGCAAAGAAGACAGAGGGTGTAGGCCGAGAGAAAAAGCCGGCGTAAAAAACTCTCGCACGCTCAAGTCACTAGATCAACACTGCTATTAAACTTAGATAGGACTTTGGTTTTCTTTCGTTACACTTAATTATTTGGTTCACTTTCCATTAAGGGTATTTGCAATAATGTTAACGTAGATATAATAATAATAAAATATTGATAAATAGAAAATTAAAACAAATTTTAAAAGTTTCGTCCTTTAATGCTGGCAGAATTTCCTCGCTGTATTATAACTTATTCGTTGAGCGAAGATAGCACCAGCTCTGGCCACCGGTACTATCTACCAGGCGCCTACTTAAATGCTTTATTAGCGCATGTGGTCTCTTATATTTGATCCGTTTATTATTTCCCGCCTGCTCTGCGGCCTCTAAAGCATTGGTGCTTTTCCGAAGGAGATAGAACGTTGCTAACGTGTCAAGTGTAACGTGTGTGAACAAGTAGCATGTGTCCATAAAGTATATGTATTTATACACTTGAGAATGAACGTTTCTTCTCAATTAAGTTAAAAATAAAAATCTTTCAAAAACAATATAGTAATGTAAATTTGCCATAATATACTTAATCCCGGAAGCTTTTAGGTTTGAATAATTTCAATTTCTGAGAGAACTTCAACATTCTAGTTTTATGTAACAGAGTTTGTATTATAACAATTATTATCGTGAATGTGTTTTAATTCACACCAAGTCGTGACTGGCTTTCGTTGCAAGGACTTCCGAGTTCCGACGGTAATTTGATCTGATAGCTGCGACAACTCGATTATAATTTTAAACGCTTAGCTTATAGAATGTATTATCTTGGGTGAACCAGCCGTAAACTTCTATATCGCATTAGTAAAATTATTTGTTGACACTAGCAAAGTTAAGAAGAAGTTTGGGTTTAAAACTTTAAGTATTTAATTGTATTGCTTCTTTTGGGTAGTGCTTTTACAAATCTTATATAGCCGCATAAAACCTACGGTAATATAAGAATTCACTGTTTATAGTATCGTCATTTATATATTACAATATAATATAATAAAATATAGTATGACATTTCTGCGAGTGCCACATATTTAAAAGTAATAACAGTGGCCTTATATTTCTGTAAGTGTTTCGTAGTCAATTGTTTTTTCTAATCAGCCTTCTGATACACTATGATATGATAGCCGGGATCAAACCTACGACCTCAGGGATGAGAGTCTATTACATTAGGTATATACTTTATTTCTAAAGTATTTATGATTATAATAATTTGAATTAGATTTTTGTCAGTTCGCAGGTGATTTTACATTTTTGTAAGTGTAGTAAAAAACTCAAGTTAATTAATTGCGCAATTGCGCATTACAAGTATGTTATGATTAAAAGGTTAAATATAAGGACCTTCCTTAAAAAAAAAATAATAAAAAAAAAAATCCTTGCACGTATTTACGAGTAAGTATTATAATAAGCTATTAGATTTTCTAAAGTCTAAGCTCTTCTAAAAAAACGATATCCTTAATCCCATTACATAACTCTTCTTTTCTTGGCGAATCCTTTAATGTCTGCAGTGAGGCTATGGAATTCACTTCCTGTCCCTATCCGCTTAGCTCCTTCTCTATCTTCCTTTAAATTTCTACTCGTACGAACTGATGTATCTACAATTATCGTGATTCATATGTCCTTTTCTATTGATTTTTATTGTCTATGTATGTTTGTGTTTCATCCATCATTTAAAAAAGAAAAGAGAAAATTTGCAAATTAATTAGTAAATTGTACATATTATGTAGTTAGTTCTTGCGCTCAAAAGCGTATTATAAGTTTCAAGTAAATCACGAACGTAAAGCGTAGCAACCGATTCGCGTAAATAAACAGGCATTCGAATAAATTGTGAAAGGTGACTAAAATAGTTCATGTCACATTCCCAATGCGCGGACGCAGGTATGTTAATGGTTTGCATTCCGCTCGGCGATGAGTCGCGAAGATAGACTCGTAATTTAATGTTTATAGTACCTATGAATGTGCGAACGTTTGACTGAAGTTACGATCTGCCGATTGAGATAATTCTCTTCGTTAAATAGATGAAAATGTTTGTTTATAAGCTTTGTTCAGCAAATAGCTCATTTTAAACACTAGATAATACCCGTATGAAATCTTGCGCATTAGACAGACATGTTACTCAAGATTACGTAAAAATTTCGGCCATTTGTTATATTCCTATATTTGTAACTTAATAAACTGATAAACCATAATATGGTAGAGTCCATTACTAACTACTTTCTTTTGTCTTAATAGTATGTCAAAGTCAAAAATCATTTATTCATATAGGTAACACAATATACACTTATGAACGTCAAAGTTTACTGCCAGTTCTCAAATCAAGGGCGTAGTAAAAACTGGCAATAAACTCTCCGCCTCTCTTTAATCGCCAAGTTTTTTGTTTTGCACAACGTTTGCATACATTGTTTACCTTTTATTTTAGTTAAAAATGAGCTCCATCTCTGTCTTTCTTGCAGATCACTCTGTAGTGTCAGTTATGGCTAAGATATATAATTTTGTTGTGTATAAAATCAATTAATATATATATAACATATACTCGACTTGCTATCATTTCAAGGCCACTTCTGACACCCAAACTTTAAACATTTTCCGTTCTAAGACTGACTAAGGTAGGTAAATAAGAATCACAATACTAAAGTAAGATGAACAAAAGCTACTAAAATAATTAAAATATATCGGCTGTCGGGTCCAGAGCATATTTATGCGCACATGTGCACGCGCATCTCTTTGTGCGTCACATGTGAATGCACACAGTTTATACTTTATTTAAAACGCTAACATATTGAGCCGATGATAATTATCTGTTCGCGTCAAATTTGTTTACGTTCTCTCGCTGAGTTTATATTTGCGGGAGATATCTAGCTTTACATTGCGTATATCGGTTTAATCAATTTATACCAATTATACGGCCGTAATTGATTAAATACTATTTTGATATATTCCCTGGAAACTAAGAGTTTGTACTATAATCATTATTAATTGGTTGCTGCATCATTGGACTTGCGTGAATTGCATAAAGACACCTGCTTTATTGGTATTTCCAGCGCGCCAATATTATTGCTAACGTTATACGTTTCCTACATATGCACACAAGACATAGTCTATTCAATGTCAAAAAAAATTAAATCATGAAAATTATCATAAAATTTCATTTAAGTTAGTCATATCAATTATGAATCAATCAAATCTCACGTATGAAATTAAAACTATCGAGCTTTTTACTTTTATACGCTGCTCATTCAAGTCCGTGTTGTCACACAAGAGTTGCATTATCAAACTCAAACTCAAAATATCTTTATTCATGTAGGTAAACAAGTACACTTATGAATTATCAGAAAGAAGTTAAATTAATTGTAAATTTACATTTACTACCAGTTCGCAAGTCAAGGGCGTAGAGCGGGTAAGAATAACTGGCAAGAAACTTTCCGCCACTCTTTTTAATCGCCAAGTATTTTTAATGATATGTGATAAACTAAGAATGTTGGAAATAATAGTACGTGTATTTATGAACGATTATCTCATTTCAGGCAACCCAAACGACAAGATTCTATACGGCCGGCCCAACAAACGGCGTAGTGCCTCTTTCCCCGCACCGCGCTCGCTCGACCGGAGACACTCCCTTCGAATATTCGGTTCGTCGAGCAAATACTTGCAGCGATGTGCATCTACCCGCAGCCTACACCACAAACATGCGAACACGACAGACAGCTCTTCATCCACTGACTACCCGCCTAGCGTAGAATCTGCGTCGCCTAGTAAGCATTCTTTTTTTGTTGCAACGCATGCCAGCTTTTTGCATACTTTTTTCATTTGCATTTGAATGATGACGCTTCATGAAAAGAATGGAATTCATATTCTTTTCATCTGCAGGCATTGTCATGTGTTTGAAGCTTTGCAGTTTTTACCTAAAATATTGTTCATTAATATGCTAAACCAGAAAAGGATTTCTAGTCTAGGGTTGGGTAAGGACCCAGCTAACTTATCGCTTGATAACTTAAATAAACTGTGGAGAAGTAGCGATTCTACGACGAAATAGTTATAGTACAAAGTTAATCACCGTAGTTGCCTTGTGTTTAATGCCAATATTTTAATCGATATTTACTTTACAGAGAAAGTGTCGTTGCTCTCCCGCTTATTCAGACGAAGCGGCCGCAGCAAACAGACCCGCGCAATGAGCACATTTTCTGCACAGTTCCCGCCCACGGAATGGTTCAATTCCAAAGCGGTTCATCTGCATTGCGTCGCCACACAGACTGACTCTAAGGTTATTATAACAACAGCAATTTTATACGACTACCTTCTGTAAATTTTTAACTAATACATGAAGACATTGAAACTAGTGTCGTATTTATTTTCGCGAGTATAACACATTTAAAAGAAAATATATTTTAGCAGATCAAAATTAACGTAGCGTAATTGAAGTTTTTAATGTATAAATTAGATCTTAAAAACTCTGTTTATTTCCAGGAGTCACTGCAGAGTCAAACATCGTTCATGTCGTCGTACTACGACGGATCGGAGATAAGCAATCGGTCATCGACATTGCCCAGAAGGCACAAACGGCACCTGTCCACAGAGTCTGGTCTAGCAGGCTCCTTGCACTACGACCATTCTCCCATACGACAGTCCAGTCCCAGTTCTGGTAGCCTTCCCAGATCCTCGCTCAGCAGGAGCTCAACGAATAAAACCATTCTGGATCACTTCGGTTCACCTCAAAGGAGCAGCGATCCGAAGTTGAGGGACAGTCCCAACGGAAGTTTACGAAGGGTAGATTATTCAGACCACGTCATGTCTACCAGCGGTCCATCGAGTTTGGAGAGCACGACGACGCATCGGACGCCAAGGAAAGATAGCAGAAACGCACACTCTGATCAAAATTCCCCAATGAAGCGCTGCTACAACAGCGGTAGCAGCGGTCACTCCAGTCTAGAATCGCACATATCTGATCGCACTTTAAAACCTGCACCTAGTCACGCTAATGGAGCACCAGGGCTTAGTAGAGCGCAATCGCTCGTGAAAGTTCAAAGCTTGCAGAGTTCTCCAAAGAGCCTCCATAAGTATAGAACTAAACCTCCAATCGTCGGAGGTGAAACTATAAAAAATGGCACTTCACCGATGACGTCTCCAAAAAACTGTCCCAATACTCCCAAAAAAACTGCGACCCCTTTACATAACAAAAATCTTGGATCTAAATTAGAAAACCCTACAACCGCTATGCTAGCGAGTTCCAACTCAAACAACTCCATTACGCTTAAGGTAACAACGAATACAATACATCAAAACGGCGGTACAAATACGAAAGTTTTCGTTCAAAATTCACCCGTACGATCGGTTATTACATTCGAAAATGGTAAAGTTACGGAAACAAGTAATGGAAGTAACATTTACATTATTAACGACGACAGGCAAGTAGTGTCTGTACAAAATGGTATTTCAAATTCAACAGCAAAGAACCCGACCGAAACATCCTTTGATGTAAATGGTGAAAATAACAAACAAAAGTACAAAGAAGCGGAGCCAATTAAAGTACAAGAAAATAAATTTAACAAAAACTCGATGAATGAAGCGAATATGAATAATAATCGAAAACTGTCACTACAAATCGGCAGCGGCACGAATAACAATAGTTTCGTTTACAAAAATCAATTGAATAACACTAATGATATAGCATCAAATCCCGCTTCACCAGCCATACACAATAACATACACAACATTGAAGCAACGCCTAACAGCAACCCCACGACACCTACAAAAAGCTATGATAACATCATCGGTTCACTAGGAAGCCTGAGATATCAAAAAAACTCCTTATCATCAGCTAATGGTGGCATGCAAACGAATATTAACTCGAATAGCGAACTGAAAAGTGTTGATTTATTGAAGAAAGCAGCTGCTTTACAAATGTTGAATGGCCTTCCAAACAACAGAATGAGTTCAGAGTCGATCGCAAATCTATTAACGAAAGGAATCGATACGAAACCAACGGTTTTAGGATCGGAACCGAACCTAGCTTTAAAGAACCAGGAGTCGCTGAAAGACAATACGTCGTCTGAAAAAATAAATTGCATAGAAAATAAACAAAAACGGTACAGTTTAAGCCAAGATGGCAAAAAGGATAATCAGGATTTTTACAATTTTCCTAGTCTAAGTGACTTGAGCTTTAACTTTACGAGTTTAGCCGCGCAGAAGATATTGAAAGGAGTCAGTATAAATAGTGTCGATACTTTAGTGGAACTAAATATGGCCGCCAATACGGACAAACCAAACAACCGTGACGTCACGCCGGTATGCACAGATTTTGGCCTTGTATAGTGTCTTATTAATTTTAAATGTACAATAGTAGCCTTTATATACAATATAAGTTAGCCTTAAATAATCATAACTTAGATTACACCCTACGTATTTAGTTCAAACTTTGTACTCATTTGAATTTTGTACTCCCCATTTACTTCTTTAGATACCTTTCATGTATCTCTTCTAATCGAATTTTAAGTCTATACTAACTTATTGTCAATTTAATGTACACGCATCATCTTAATGCACATTTTAATCTTGTCCAGTGAGTGACAATAAAGTTGAAAAACACTGATGTGGCCTAAGCATACCCATCCAAAAGAATTTAGTGCCTAATATAATCGAATTATTTATCCTATTCAGTATTCGTAGTGTATATTTTTATTCCCTTAGCACATATCTAAAAATATCACTTAGATTTAAAAACTTTCACCTGCACATCTTTTCGTGCCATCATGTTTCCAGTGAAGCGAGTACAAACTAGTATATCTCCATAAGAACAGGTTTCATGTTAGGAAGAGGGAATTAAATGTATGTCATGTATAAGTGCCATAAACCATAATATAATTGTGAGATCGGGCAATGGGTTGGGAAGATTGGTTTTTAATTATTTTGGTCAGCACTTAGTGCAAGACAATGGGTAATATTTATTCATTAGAAAATGTAATCAAAAGTCAATGCATATTAGTGTAAGAGTTCAGTTACGCCATTTGTAAAAATGTATTAACAATTAAAGTTGATGCTTTATGACTTTTTTTATTCAATCCTTACTTAACTAAATAGCTGTACATATGTTGCATGTACTCCTTCATCCCACTGATCAAACTTCGTACTTTAATTCTATATAGGTTTTGGGAAACATACAGATTCCTACTGCATAGTTTCTGTTATTATTAACTTCATCAATATAATTGGATTGAATTTATCACCAACTGCACCATTATTACTAAACAGTAAATTTCATCAAAATCAAATAACATATACAATAATTATACGATATCTTGTTAATATGAACAAGTTATAGTAAATAAGTATTTGTTATTGGGTACAGTTATTATTGCATGATGTCACTTTACTAGCTAATTTAAAAGCAATGCAAAATGCTAATTCAAGGCTGTTTAGGCTGTCACATGCTTCTATAACGACATAACTATTGTTGATTTTTAATAATTTTGGATTTTTATCTAAATTTATTTGAGTACAAATTAAAATTTATAGAAGCCATTATGTCTTATAATGAACCATTAAAGAATGTATGTATTACCATTTACATAATATTATATATGCAATAAGCTTATGATTAATAGAGGTAGAAAGCAAAGAGAAGGGTCTAGAACAAACTAATATGAAAGATAAAATATAAAAATTTATTCTCTGTATGTAATAAAATTAAGTAAAATGCCATTATAACATATGCTAAGTGCAAACAATAGTGCTATGTTCCATAAGGTCTGTAGTGTGCAAAGGCTCAGTTTCAGTCTGATTCTTTATAGTGTTGAGCCAATCTTCTGTAGGTTCTATTTTTTTTACATCATTCTCTGAACTTTCACTTGTATCATCTTGGCTGCTAGTCTCAACTGTGTTTATACTAGTATCCAGATCTTCTTTGCTATTGCATTCTATTGTAGCTTCATCAGGCTCCATGTTTCTAAAGTTTTTGGCAACATCTTCAGGCCTTATCGTAACATTACATACACAGTCTTCGTTTTTAGTTATTTCTTTTAATGCTGCTTCTTCTATTATCTCTAATTCCTTCATATCTTCAATACTTTTATACAAATACATGTGATCGTCGTATGGACTTACATAATCCTCCAGTAAAAAAGTACTACTATCGAAATTTAAATTATCAAATTCAACAGCGCCGTATTTACCTATGTTGTTCAATAGTTCAGATTCATTGTCATAAGAAATCTCTATACTTTTAACGCAATTTTTTTTTTGATCTTCGTTGTCTTGGCAATGTTTATAAATTGCTTCTAGCTGTCGTAATGTTTTAAGCTCTCTGGCTTTTAACGAGGCATATATACGAGCAAAGGATTTTCGTACTATCGATTTTAGCTGAAAGGAAAGAAAGCGTTTTAAGAAAACAGAATAAAATAACAACATGATATATGTATAAACATTACTTTTTCAATGTCGTCGCTAATTTCAGCGAACTCGTCCGCCATGTTTAATGTTATTGTTTATTTTTGTTTATTCCTTCATCCTTGTAGAGATATTGTCAGCCGTCAGAGCGACACAATACAACGCTCTTCATTCTTTGAAAATTACATCTATGATCGTGAACATGATGGAAGTGAGCCAGCCAAAATTTATTTATAATGTAGACTTTGTTTTTAAATATATTATTATTATAGCTTTAATATTTCACAGAAAATAATATTTTACTATTTCTAGAATATCGATTTTTTTTTGGTTTTCATTCAAACAGCCCTTTTATTTAGAGCTTGCAACATAATAAAAGTCTATTGATTTTTCGTTTGACATTTCATTCAACAGAAAAACATCGGTGATCGTAGTAGAACCTTGTTTCTGTTAAAATTCGGATAAAATTGTAGTCCGAATATATTTAAACGTTTTAGAACAATTTGTGACACCTAGAAAGTTTATATTTTATTGTTTAATTATGAGTGAAGTGCGACATAGGCGAGGTGACGGCGACGGAACCGAAAAAGTGGAGACGGCTGGCGAATCTGATCATGTATTTATTTTCAAATATCTTTAGTAAAACCAGTTCTTTTATTTAAAAAATGCAAACACTTATAAAATGTGTGCATTGTCAGGTGGATTCAGAAGAAGAAAAAGCATTGGAGGAGAAGTATGTAGATGAACTAGCAAAATCTCTGCCTCAAGGAACGGATAAAACCACAGAAATTTTTGATTCTGCGCTCTCCGGACTCTCGACGCGGTAATTAAATTATCCTGTTAAACATACAGACGTGAAAAAAATGCAAATTAATTTTTAAAAGCAATGCAAAATGCTATTTAAAATTCTAGCCATTTAGGTAGTAGTAACAGGCTTCTGTAATGACACTTAACATTACTATTGTTAGTTTTAAATAATTCTAAAATTAGCTGATTGTTTCACGAAAATTTAAAACAAACTATATGTCTATGGACATTCATTCTTAAGGTAGATAGATTCTTATAGGATTATATACTGGCATATACGAATACTTGTTTTGTTTTTGTTGTGTTGTTCAGCCCAGTTACATATTTAACTTAATACTACATACTTCAATATTATTTCAATCACTTCAGCTTTAGTATTTTATCCCAGAACTTCTTAATGTTATTAAATATATTTGTAGTGGTATAAATCTGTAAAAAAATTGTAAATGTTATTTCTAATGTAGATACTGAATTATCCTATATCAACTAATACACTATAGCCAACTATTACATAAATGTCATGATTTTATAAAACATTTTTGAGTAGCAATGCTATAAATAAAAATCATATATAGTATAAGTAATAAGTTTTACTTTTGAAAAACATGTAATCTAATATAGATACTTCAAGAATATTGTAAAAACATTTGTCAATTATCTTGACATCCATTTCTGTTATTATATAGATGGAGAAACTGGGTGATTCGGGGAATTTTTACATGGCTAATGATTGGTGGCTTTTGCTTACTTATTTATGGTGGTCCCTTGGCTCTGATGATTACGGTAAGCAATATGATGAAATCTTTAATATTTATGTATTATTGAGCTATGAATTAATATTCATATGACATTGTTTTATGCATAAATCTCATTTATATATTTAATGTAATTATTGGTACTTTATTTTGATACCCTGAAGAGAATTGTTATCATAAATTATTAGTTTAAATTATGTTTCAATAAAATATTTTTGCTTAGTCCACACTAGTTGGTTTTATTATACTTGATATTATATTTGGCTTTATTCTCCAGGTTTTGTGTGTGCAAGTGAAATGCTTTGAAGAGATCATCAATATTGGGCATGCTGTTTATCGAGTACATGGTTTGCCATGGTTCCGATCGCTGTCCTGGTACTTCCTGCTCTCTTCAAACTACTTCTTCTATGGAGAGAGCCTAATTGACTATTTTGGAGTTGTTATTAACAGAACTGTAAGTTATTTTTTGCTGTTTACATTTATAAAGTGGTTAGATAGAATAGATTTGATTTTTTCATAAGCTGTAATTTTTTTAGAAGTTGACAATCGCACTTCAAATTTTGTGGTAAAATTTAAAAAAAAAATAAAAATTATTACTTTTCTACATGGTAATTATTAGGGTGATTGGACTATCAAAATTAATGTTAAAAATGCCTTAATTATTATTTCAAAATTGCTACATATTTCGAGCTACCATTGGGCCCAAATACTTTAGTGACTGTAGACCTACTTATATTGTATGGAAATGAGTGAAGGATTAGCTGCGTAATCAGTATTGTTAGAGATAAGCAACTTAAGTAAGAACCTCATCTTAAAGAATAATCAACTTAGCGGCCTTATTTTAAACCAAAGTTATCTCTTTAAATAACATATCTATGTTCATCAGGATTAATTAAAAAACTAGAGAACTTTTATTTTAGAACAAAATTGAATACTATTAAAAATTTAGTGAACTTTAACAGATATGTTTTCGTTTTTATAACCTAATAGGAACAATTCATACATAATTTCAGCACAAGCAAATTTAGTATAGCCAGGGATAATGTAGCATTGTAATTATGAATTTTTGAATGTGTTAGTCTTAGGTTTAAGTAATATAGTAATTATATATTACTATATTAGTACATATTAATGTAGTAATTTAATTTCTGCTTTTGTCGCTGATATCTTCAATAGATATACACTCCTAGATATAAAAATACACTTCTTCTTTATTAACTAGTATTTTTTTTTTTTTTTAAAGACAATTCACACCAATTGACCTAGTCCCATGCTAAGCTGGTGAAGCTTGTGTTATGGGTACTAGGCAACGGATATACATACATATTTTAGATAGATAGACATATAAATACATATTTGAACACCCAAGACCTAAGCACAACACCAAATGCACATCACATCGATGTTCGTCTCAGCCGGGGATCGAACCCGGGACCCATGGATTCGCAGTCAGGGGTACTAACCACTAGACCAATGACCAATGATCGTCAATTAGTATTGAATAGTCTCTAAGTTTTAAATAAACGCTATATGCTTTTCATATAGGCTAGTGTAGTACAAAGACAACAAAATCTATTTTTACGTCGCACTGATACTTATTCAATGAATTACCCTTATAGTCCGGTCAATTTAGTCATCCAATGTTACAATAATTCGCACTTGGCTGAATATTAGTAGGATTGCTCAATACACTATTATAAAGGAAATGTGAAAAGTCCTCATCGATCCGGCACGTGCAAAAAAATTTACTCCGGGTCAAAGATCACAAAAATGGGTTTTTCGCGATTTTCAGCAAAATGGTAAGTTTTATCATAAAATTAGTTTTGACAAAAATTGTAGATCAAATAATTATCTATAAAAAATGTCCAAATACTTTTTTCCTAAGAGCCACGGTTTTTGAGATATAACGATTCAAAAAGTTGAAAGAGTTGTAATCGTCATAATATGCACACGTTTCCACGCCACCTTTGAGGTAGTGTACTTAGCGCTTTTTTTTTTAATGTGGTTTCCCCGGTAGGCCTATTCCACTGATCTTTTATGATTCTGTTTAATTTGAAACTATTGAATAACTGTAGATATTGACAAGGGTTGAAAATTATGAAAGGGGTGTAAATTACAAAAAATAAGAAAATTTATCCGTCTGAATCTAAATCATCATTAACTTCTGCTTTCTCTTGAATTAAAAAACAGGTTACAATAAACACGTGTTTTCACTCCAGAGCGATGTTGCTGAAGGTTACACTGGCGTAGGAAATAAAGGACTGGGTTTTTTTTAACCCGAAATTTTCATATTTTATATGTGTAAGTCACACTGACCGATAGAACGATATTTTTGCTTGTTTACGGCTTCAGTGATGTATATACGTGGTGTACTTATACATATTATGACGATTACAACTCTTTCAACTTTTTGAATCGTGATATCTCAAAAGCGGTGGCTCGTAGGAAAAAAAGTATTTAGACATTTTTTATAGATAATTATCTGATCTACAATTTTTGTCTAAACTAATTTTATGATAAAACTTACCATTTTGCTGAAAATCGCGAAAAACCCATTTTTGTGATCTTTGACCCGGAGTAAATTTTTTTGCACGTGCCGGATCGATGAGGACTTTTCACATTTCCTTTATAATAGTGTATTGAGCAATCCTACCAATATTCAGCCAAGTGCGAATTATTGTAACCTTACCCCTATTTTTTAGTCTAATTTGACCGGATTATTAGGGCGTTAACCAGGAAGACGATTAAGTGCACACTGTAACACGTGAATTTTTTTTTAAATATTTTATCAAATCGAACGATACGTGTTTTTGATGTTAAATCATATATGACCGATAAAAATTTAATCTCAAATCTTATCTACGTAGACTTTTTAAAAAAATTGAGGATTCCGTTTCATGTATTTGATTAAAAATAAAAAAATATTTTGCGCCAGTCATGCTTTGTTAAACTCAACACGTTTGTCTTCGTATCTGTTTGTTATAATTATCATAACGCGTGTTTAACAACAAAATACTGTATTTTTTACCACTATAAGCTATTCTACTTAGGGTCAAGAAAAGAACGTTCCAATTTTTAAAAGGCCGGCAATGCACTCGCGAGCCCTCTGACCTTGAGAGTGCCCATGGTATACCTAACATCAGGTGAGCCTCTTGCCCGTTTGCCCTCTTTAAAAACATAGCTAAATTACTGTGAACCAAGATATACGGTATATATGTAGTACCGTATGGGTTCCCATGGTATCGATTATAAAAGATAATATTTTTTTATCGAACCCGGGTTTTCTGGGTTAAGTGGCATGTCACTCACAATTTAATCTATGTCATATAAAGCAGGGAACCTCTAGAGATGGTTTGTGCGTAATTTCTTTAATGGAATAAAGTAATAGGATTAGTAAAAGCAGTGGCTTTGTTATACATTGGATAATAATATACGTATTTAGCAAGAAAATAGCGTACCAATCACTTACTTTTAAGAATTTGGGCCTTCTGGCCGTGTAAGTGTCCATGGGCGACGGTGTCACTTGACATAGGTCGAGCCTTTGCCCGTTTGCCATCTGTTCTATTAAAAATAAAATAATGAGTATTAAGTCTTTTGAATCAGTATGCAAATATCCAATAATTTACTTAAAATGTTTATATTCCAAATACTATGAAGTTCAGTAACCATAATCTACGCAGTTCAATGTCCGTAGCAATGATGTCGCAAACTAAAAATGTACGAAACCCTGTAGTATCGGAGTCGTTATTAAATTTATAATTTTTCATACAAATCCTAAGTCTATATAACTAGTCTGTCCATAAATACTGAGTATTTTAAATTTGGAACACGTACCTATATTATTTTAAGAATTTCTTTCGATTTTGCGCCATTTCACAATTTTTTTCGTGTGTGTTTCAAGCAGTGTAAAAGCGCAGTGAAAAAGCGTAAATCTATAGATTCGTGGCCAAACACTTTATTTTTTGCTGAGACTTCAATAATGTGTGTGTGACTTCAATATGAAGTATAAATTTTAATAATATTACCTTTCTTCATAATTAATACATTCGGCAAACTAGTAAAACTAAACTGCAAATTGAGTGTTAACCTTAATTTCGCTTAAAGCTTACCTTTTATCTTCCGGTTCACTGAAGTTTACCCCAAAAACTGACGTTTCCTATATGAAATATTATGTTTTTGATAAACTCAAATTTTAAAGTGAAGATCACTCTTTTATTTATAAAATATGTATTAAATTAATATAAGGATGACTTTTATTCTTATCTTATTGTGTGCATATTGGGATACTGAAATTCACTATTCAGTGATAGAGTATATGGTCTGACATATTATATTGGGTACCTTTCCGTTTTGTGGCGGCGCTTTTTCTATATTTCTTTATTGTTTTTGTGCATTTTTCATGCCAAATCATGCTTAACTTTTCTTCTACTCCTACTGTATGCTAATAAACAACAATAAATACTAGTTGGTTTTACTAACAAAAAGTTATGATATGAAAAAAAATGTATATCATATAATTTAATATTATCTTCAATACACTCAATAAACAACTATAAATAGTATGTCTAACGCAAGAACTCATCAGTACCAATCTAGTGGATATTATGAAAAAGATACAGGATATAGATTTTTTCGAATTTTAATAAGAATAAGTAAAAAAAGTCAATTTTATTATAAAACGCAAAATAAATTATAACTCTGCAGGGGTTGAGCTTAGAGACCTCCCGTAGAACAATTGTTTGCAGCTGATGACCTCATCTATCCCCTATTTGCGTTTGATCCACGACTTTTTGACCAACCTGTATGTTCGTTCCCGTACATTATAACATTTACAATCTACTAAATTTTTTCATATTTTACAAAGTTTATCACCAAATTTCCAATTATCTTCATCGAAATGGTAATCATTCGAATCGATATAATTAAAGTTTTTATTTTAAGACTTATTTAGACATTATATATATAATATTAGATGTATTATGTATAAATAAAGTCATTATTATAATTATTTAATGATTACAACAACGGTTATGTAAACGATTATTGTAGTAAACAGTAATGGTCTGTTTAAAATTTAATATTACTATTTAATTACACAATAAATTCTTAATTAATATGATAACAAACTACGTGCTAATAGGTCAATTAGAAACGTGTATTTACAATTATATGTGATGGATGATAAGGCAAAGGATTCGATTCCCTGGGGAAATGATGTTTTTTAGTTTAGAAAGTTGAAATGCAATTCAAATATGTGAAATAAATTTTGTTCTTAATAACATAGGCATAAATTCCCGTGTAAACATCTAAGGGCGGTAATGAAGTTGAAAATAAAATAATAGTTTTACCTTATTTTCCGTTCCATTTTTTTTGATAATTGATGCAAGTAAACCTTGCGAATAATTTTACGTAAGAAAATAGTTATGACGAACATAAAAAATAAAATGCGTTTGAAGTAATGGACATCGTAATAAGAAACCGGAAATGTTATTCGCGTGCATTAATTTAAGTGTTATATGTTTTTATTTTTTCTGATATTCAAGCAACAATCAGCGTGATACTAACTATAATATATGCGACTTAGCTAAAATAAAGCCCTATGTGGCAAATTAGACCCGCGTGTGTCAATTCTAGCTATATTTATTGGAACATAAACTATGTCCTTCAGAACCTATATGTTTGAGTAGATAATAATTATTATAAAATTTGCGCTGCTTGCTATCGCTTGTACATAGAATTTGCAATTTTCTTACAATGCCTGTATGTGGGACTACTATGATGTGTCCAGGGTTTGAGAGATGATGAATTAATTGCCTCTCTCTTTGGAGTAATTACACTAACTTTTATGCTATTGTTACATTTCTTTGACGACCAGTCACTTTCCGAGCGGCAGCGGCGGCCTTCAGAGTTGTTCTGACGAATACCTCGACGCAAATTTTATCGCGCACCATCTCTATGTGGAATCAGGGCAACTGACGTATTTCCAAACCAATTAGATTTAGGCTCCTTAAGAAAAAGGATAATTTGTTGAGTAGCCGCCTGCCCGTTTGCCTCCTGTTACATAAAAAAACATGAATAGTTTTTCTCTCTAGAAAACTTTTTTTTTTTTGGTAAGGTTTAAGGAAAGTCAAATTTCCTTTTAAAAACTTATCAAACAAAATTGATTATCTACAATTACTGATTAAAACAAATTTTAATTTCCCAAAAAGCCACGCCAGCCTCTTAAGCCTTTCCTTTCACCTTTCCGAAGAAGGGAACTCGGTGTGAACTACTTTATACTGCGTGTATGTAGAATTGTAAATGTACATAAGTTGGCGTTTGATATCTTGCCCTTGCCCTTTCCTTGTCGCAATTCCGTTGTATTCTTATTTAATAACTTATTTAAATATTTTTACTTTATAATTGTTTTTGTAACTACGCTTTATTTCTTATTCATATTTTATATTTAGGTCTACTATTACCACTTATTATTCTACGTGCTGCGTTAGCTTTTAATGTGTACTTTTAATTTTTACGTTTTTGTTAATAAATAGTTATTATTATAGTACGGGAGGTAGCAACGTTTTCGAGAAAGAATTTTAGGTCAGCTGATTTTGTGATATGTCTTCCTTCTTGCACTTTCGGTTAGAGTCTTGGCAATCTGGCTGGCGGTAGCGGTTGCGTTCTTTAGTGCGCATCCTATCTGTCCAGTGTAATATCCTGGATTTTAAAAGCATTTTAAGAAGCGTAATTTTTAATTTTTCCTTTTTAAATAAGTCTACCTGACATATTTTTTTTATTGCCAGACATTTTTCACATTGCTAACTATGTGCCAGACGCGATTTTAAGTTTTTTTTTTATAAAAATTTCAAAGTATTTTAGAATGTCTGTAATTTTAATATTATGTTCTTTAAATATAAGAAAAACTAAAAATGAATTTGCCAGACATTAATTCGGTTGTTATGTCTTGAATTAAAATGAAAAAGTATTGCAGTATGATGAAGCGTTGCATTTTAAGAAGCGCAATTTTAATTTTTCCTTTTTAAATAAGTCTACCTGACATACTTTTTTTATTGCCAGACATTTTTCACATTGCTAACTATGTGCCAGACGCGATTTTTTTTTTTTTTTTATAAAAATTTCAAAGTATTTTAGAATGTCTGTAATTTTAATATTATGTGATTTAAATATAAAGAAAATCTAAAAATGAATTTTCCAGACATTAATTCGATTGTTAAGCCTTGAATTAAAATGAAAAAGTCTTGAAAAGTATGGCAGTATGATGCCTTTCATTGGTAATAAAAACATTTACGTAAGTTTTAATAAATGTTATTCATACAAAGTGATAAATAACTAAGTAATTAAAACTATTGAAGAATCATTATCGTGTGAGAAGATTCTGAACAAAAAAAAATTAAAAATAACGCTTCCTCAAATGCAATGCTTCATCATACTGCAATACTTTTTCATTTTAATTCAAGGCTTAACAATCGAATTAATGTCTGGCAAATTCATTTTTAGTTTTTCTTATATTTAAAGAACATAATATTAAAATTACAGACATTCTAAAATACTTTGAAATTTTTATAAAAAAACTTAAAATCGCGTCTGGCACATAGTTAGCAATGTGAAAAATGTCTGGCAATAAAAAAGTATGTCAGGTAGACTTATTTAAAAAGGAAAAATTAAAAATTGCGCTTCTATAAATGCAACGCTTCATCATACTGCAATACTTTTTCATTTTAATTCAAGACTTAACAACCGAATTAATGTCTGGCAAATTCATTTTTAGTTTTTCTTATATTTAAAGAACATAATATTAAAATTACAGACATTCTAAAATACTTTGAAATTTTTATAAAAAAAAAACTTAAAATCGAGTCTGGCACATAGTTAGCAATGTGAAAAATGTCTGGCAATAAAAAAAGTATGTCAGGTAGACTTATTTAAAAACGAAAAATTAAAAATTACGCTTCTTAAAATGCTTTTAAAATCCAGGATTATTACCGGACAGATAGGATGCGCACTAATGAACGCAACCGCTACCGCCAGCCAGATTGCCCAGACTCTAACCGAAAGTGCAAGAAGGAAGACATCACAAAATCAGCTGACCTAAAATTCTTTCTTTTCAAACGTTGCTACCTCCCGTACTATTAGGGGTGCATCGATACGCCTTTTTACCGATACGATACCGATGCCAATACTCTCATTGAAATATCGTCGATATCGCTTAGTGAATTTAAATTAAATTAAGGTAAAATATAACAAGTTTGGTTAAAGTTTTTAATTTTTATTAAAAAATAAAAACAGTAAGAATTAAGAGTTATAATTAAAATAAAATAAATGACTGTTAATAATTAAAATTAAAATTGATAAGATTTTTGTTTAAAAAACAGAGCAATTCTTATGTCTCATGAAGAAAGTGGATTACGCATGTTTTGTAAAAGAGAGATTGGGATAGTTATGTGTGTTTGTATAATTAAAAGTTTGTATGAATAAAATAAGATATTGAAATCGGTATCGGATGCATCCCTAGTTAATATACAAATTAACGTCACTCGACGTATATTGCTGAAAAATTATATCGCGTTTAAGTGTTAAAAATATCATATTGCATCTCTGTTTCAGGATTACCTACATTTCCTGGTGACGTACCATCGGTTTATTTCCTTCTGCCTGTACTGCGTTGGATTTGTATGGTTTGTCCTGTCCCTGGTGAAACGGTACTACATGCGCCAGTTCAGTCTTTTTGCCTGGACTCACGTCGCTCTGCTGATCGTGGTGACTCAAAGCTATCTCATCATTCAGAATATTTTTGAGGGTGAGTATTTCATGTATATTGTAAGAAAAGGGTTGAGTTTTTTTATAGGTTTATATTCATTTAAACCTAAAAAGACAATCACTTAATAGTAAATAACAAAACAAAATCTCGTCAGATTGTCCAATACACTTACTTTTTCGTACTGACGTATTCAAAAAACCGATCTATTACTATTATACACAAAACACCATAGCAGATAATCTCTCTCATGCACACAAATACGCACCTACTGTTATACAACACAGAATTTTACTAATATGATTACTAAATACAAATGGTTTAAGAAGTTTCGCGTTTGAGGTATTTAGATGAAATGTGCCTCACAATAGATTTTGTCATACTACTGATGTAAACAGTGTTACTAAATAATAATCCCTTACAGAGGGGCAGGTATATATAGGGGCATAACAGTAAATACATACACCAATATTTATATTATATTTTACTGCGTACGCTGTTAACGGTAAGTTTCAAAGAATATACGTTGTTATATCGAAGTTTTTATATCAGCTGTTCGCTACCTACAGTGGCGTAACAATAGGGTGGCAGGGCTGGCTAAATCCCACGGGCCCCCGACCCAAGAGGGCCCAATACGCATTGGGCTAGCATGGGGACTACAGACCATTCCCTCTCGCCTAAGAGGAGGCCTATGGCCATTAGTGGGACTTAAACAACGTGTAGTTGAGTACGCTGAAAATCTCGAAGTTTATTAAAATTAGGAGTAGGGACGATTTTTACTGAAAGGGCCCCATCAAAATAATTGCCACAAAAGAATACTTGCCACGGGCCCCAAATGGTATAGTTACGCCACTGGCTACCTAAATAAATTAAAATGTTCACTGTGTATTCAAAAGCCCTCATTGTATAGATAATATTATTCGTTTTTTAATTAAAGGTAGTCGATAAAAACATTCGTGAATTCGATAGGTTACGGAATGTAAAACGAATGAAGATACGTCAACGTTATTAAATTGGTATTTATTTAGTTCAATTACAGATGCGAAACGATTGTTTGTCTCAATCACGACGAATGTCAGTTAAAATGCATCCTTGCTTAACAACGATTCGAGCACAATATAAGCCATAACATATTAAAATTTACATTGTGATATGTTTTTATTTATTTATATATTTCAAAACAATAATGTTTCGAAATACATATAAATATATTTTGGGAAACCTGACACAGGTATTTAAGAGCTAGTTAAGAGCTTTAACATTAAAGCTCTCAATCTTATGTTAGGTACATTGCGTGCCAACGACGGCTCATAATAAAGATAACAATATGTGTGTTACAACTTTTGATAAATAATACTTTTAGAATCTCGCAAATAGCCCATGATTGTATAAATAAATAGACGGTATGAAAAAGATGACTTTTCCCATAAAAAATAAAATTGTAAATACCATGAAAACCATAAGGAACTCGGTTGACATTTTCAGCAACTCCATAGAGACCTTTCGCCAAGACGTCTTAGCAACCTTGCTGTGTTATTTTTTTTATATATAATAGGAGGCAAACTGGCAGGAGGCTCATCTGATGTTAAGTTACGCCGCCCATGGACACTCACATTGCCAGAAAGCTCGCAAGTGTGTTGTCGGCCTTTCGAGAATTGGTACGCTCTTTTCTTGAAGGAAAGTCGAATTGATTCGAAAATACTCAGTGGGCAGCTATTATATTAATAATAATAATATTTGGTATTATTATTATTTTCTTTATCCTACATAATTATGTACTTACATTGTATATTCGCGAATGCTTGGTTGACCCATGCAACTTCTTCAATACAAAGAGTCCCCTTGTGAGTTGTGTGCTGTGATATTACGGTTTACTTGATTGTGAGGAAGCATGTATCTAGTTAGCGTATAAGTTCTCATGTCATTTCCACGCGTGTATATCCTTTCAATAACATATTTTCATAAGTATCTGATTGGTCTCATTTTAACATGTGTGAAGACCTGTGTTGTCACAGGCGTCCATTCTGGGGTAAAAGTATCTTTACAAAAAAAAAATTAGTTATTAGGTATTTAAAAATATTAAGTTACTAGCTGATTCGGCAAACGTCGTTTTGCCATGTATATAATTTATAATTAAAAATAGGGGTTGATCGTAGAGGGGTGAAAATTAGGGGTTGTATGTATTTTTTAATGCTGTATCATAAAAAAATAAAAATTTATCTAAATATTTAAAAAAAATTAGGGGTGGACTATCCTTAACATTTAGGGGGATGAAAAATAAGAAAAAATTCATGAGAATCGGTCAAGCCGTTTCCCAGGAGTTTAACCACAAACACCGCGACACGAGAATTGTATATATTAGATTATCGCCATTTTCAAAGGCATTTACTGCTAGAATGCCTTTTAAAAGGTCTGTATCATACTTCAGTGTAATGTTTCTAGTACAATCTGAGTATTGATCGCGCGATTAAATTAGGTCAAATGAATCAAGCACTATTTACAGACTTAACAGCCTTTACTATGTTTTACTATCCAATATAACTTTAATTATAAGTACACATCGTAATAATAGTATAACGTTTTTTTATTTGTAAATACCGTACGTAGAAAGTTACAATACTAATTTAATTAGATTTGATTTTATTAACATATAAACCAAACGAAAAGTCACTTTTGGGTCATAGCTGTAGCTTTCAGACGTTAACGTGACGTTTTAAGAAGACTGAAGTCCGGGATAAGCCAAGCACCGGCTGAAATAAGTTTACTTTAGGTAGAGGAAGAAAGGGATAATCAGACACAATAAGTAGTTTCATCATCGGAAGTCAAGGCGGAATACAATACTCCACCCGTATCACCTCGACGTCCATCGCTTCACAACCGAATCCATTTTAAGGCACTTTGTGAAACCACCCACTAATTCAAAAAAAGGCCATTTCTTAGAAGACCCGGCACTTGCGAGCTCTCTGGGAATTTAAGTGTCTATGCCTATCACTTAACATCAGATATCCGTTCCGTATAAAAAAAAAATGGAGATGGGCTGGACATTTGCTACGCCACCCCATTAACAAATGGAGCAAGCAAGTCACTCTCTGGCAACCAAGAGAGTAGAGCAAAAGAGGTAGGGGTCGTCAAGTCAGGAGATGGGAAGATGACTTGAAACTGGCAGCGGGACCATTCTGGTTGAGAGTAGCAAGGGACAGGATCCACTGGAAGGAATTGGAGGAGGCTTATGCCAAAAGGCACACCGAACTTAGGGATCTCTTGTAACCCTACGTTTAGGAATAAAAGGCTATTGTTATATCCGTTTGGCCCCGTTATATAAGAATCATCAGAAATCTTACAATTCCTATTAAAGAACTTTTAGAATGTTCTTCTTCTATTCAAACAAGTGGCTTATTGCTGGATAGCAGATTGCCATGAAGCAATAACAAATATAAAAAAAAATGTTCTTTTCTATTAAAAATAGAAAAGGTCTCAATACAAACATAAACGTAAGATTATTGTATGGTATAGTTAGCGTCGGTGGCTTTGTACACAATATTGACATACCCATTCGCTTCACGTCACGGAAGCCTTTGAGCGTGGAAACTAGGTCGTTGGAAATATTGTTCCTATTCGTTATTGAAACAGGAATATGAAATAGATTTATATGACTCATGAAGAAAACAAAGAAAAGTTACTACTTGTTAAACGTGGTGAAAAAATTTGGAATTTGATTCTTAATTCAAGTCGAGTTATATTTGAACGTAACAATTGTACATAGCATTACTGAGTTTTATAAAATATCGGAGTGGATTATTATTATGATTGGTTTAGGCTTGTAGTCAAGGTGTGGCTTCGAACTAATATGATTAAGGATAATGCTATTACGACTAGTGTAACTAGGTACAGTAGGTACACAAATAATTGATAATACCGATTATGTATCCGGCTTCCGGAATATCTCGAACTTTTGGGAGATTTGGAGCGTTAGTTTTTCGATGTGATGTGTGTTGATCCTTTTTACTTATCTAATACCTAAGCAAGGAAGTGATATTTTGTACCGCTTCATTTGTGTTTAAGTCGTCGGTTTCCTCACGATGTTTTCTCTACCGTATTGTACGTAAGCTAAGCTTTCGACCACTGGGTTGAGAGTCTCGCCTAGCCATTAGTCGTTAAAGAAATCGGGACGCCACAAATTTTAAGCAGACTTAAAATACGGAAAGTCGCATATCTCGGACTCGTTTTGCCTCATGATCGATACGACTTATTAAAGCTTATAAATTATAATGATGGACAAGAGACGGGCTGGTAGAATATAGAAGTCGTGGTTGCGGAACGTACGGGACCGGCTTCACATCCGCCTAGAATCTTTTTAGACACGATACCCGGCAATTCAAGGAAACCTTTAGCCATAAAGTGGTACTAGAAGAAGAAGAAATTTAAAATTATAGACATAAACGATAATCTTTATTTACCAAAGGCGCGAACAGCGAACTACTATTGACGCGATGTTTTTATAATGTTGGGGGCAATCTTTTAGTAACCGGCCTTGGATATTCAACTCTGTTTCCGTGTGTTTATATTATTATGTATGCATAACTACGCATTTTATATATTATTAAGACTTTACCTATGTAATTGGAAATTCTATAACAAGCATTTACAGATTTAATCTATACTAATATTATAAAGAGGAAAGGTTTGATTTTTTGTTTGTTTGAAATGAATAGGCTCCGAAATTACTGGACCGATTTCAAAAATTCTTTCACCGTTGGCAAGCTACACTATTCCCGAGTGACATAGGCTGTTTCATTTTCAAAAAAATTAGGGATGCTTACTAAAACTTGAATAATCTAACCCAAGGTGTAAAAAAATAAACAAAAAACTTCCTTCAATCGTGTGCGCTGCGAAAACTATTAATGATGGAACAAAATGATGTATTAAAATTTTTCAGGACACATCACTATCTATAAAAAATGTCGCGACAGCATGTCTCTATCTTTTATAGTTACGTCACAATAAGCGTCCTTTTATTATTATTTTTTTATTAAAATACCACCGCTAGAAAAGGCCCTTTATTCGTACCTAGGTATTGATCCTTATCAAAATAATTACCAACGTTTCACATAAGCTACAATTTAATGGCATAACCACCAAAAAAGCATGGTGGATTGGTGTTCTCCTGCCGTTTCTCTTAAATAGTTTACCGCTATGTAATATAACAAAAATCTTAGCCACAGCAACGCTTGGCCGAGTCTACTAGTTATCTATATTTTTATTGAATTTTAAATTAAATCATTTGTTTATAGATAGTGTTTTGTTTTTGTGAAATTTTAGTAGTTGTTGGATGTGTAAACTGAAAATTCGTTCAACTTCCCAAATGTACCTACGTAACATTATGGATGTTTTCCCCCTCGCACCACTACTATGTGGAACCACCTGCCCGTTGAATATAAATTCGACTTTGAAAAAGCGTGCGAAGTTTTAATAGGCCGGCAACGCACTTGCGAGCCGTCTGGCACTGTGAGCGTCCACGGGCGTTGGTATTACTTAACATCAGATCCTCCTGTCCGTTTTCCCCCTGTTCTATAAAAAAATTGAATTGTCTAACTAAATGTATTAAAAGCATGTACGATATAGCTCGTCGCGAACGCCTAACTCCGTAAACAATGAGCTATTAATAGATGTAATATTAAATCGACATTCCCCTTTGTTCAAGCCATTATACGATTTTCATCTTTATTATGTAGGAATTATGAATCAGTTTTGTGTCAACCGTAAACAAATTTGAATGTGGAATTCTTTTTACACGCAATTAAATAAAAAAGTTTAGTTTTTGTGTTGTCGTCTTAGATTCACCTACTAACTACTGATACACACTACTGCCCTGCGATTCTGTAACTCACTTTTCGAACGCACACAGCGGTTTTCGCATCGGCGGTCGCTCTCAAATCAGTCGTGAAGCAGTCATTTTATGATTTGGCATTCTGAAAAGGTGGATGCTTGTAGTTTATTGTTTATCAGAATGCCAAATCATAAAATGACTGCTTCACGACTGATTTGAGAGCGACCGCCGATGCGAAAACCGCTGTGTGAGTTCGAAAAGTGAGTTACAGAATCGCAGGGCTGACATGCTCATCTGATCATTTTATCATCAAGCAGATGTGGAAATGTCTGCATACAAAATGCAAGTGCGCAAACACATTACAATTTTTTTTATTTGTTACTTAAAATGGTATTTGATATCCTCATATTTAAAACTAAACCAATACACAAAGTTGTGAATAAAACATTCATAAAATATTAAATGACTAGGGATTACTCAAATTATTACAAAACAACATCCTACATATAATATAAATATATTATTTCCTGGAAGTGGACTTGTATATTTAGACCTATTTTACGGATTGTCAATACACATTCTTTTTAATCGTTAATTTATGTAAATTTAAATGATGTATTGTTTGCTAAGCAATATCATTCGAAGTACAATGTACATTTAGATTGAAACGTTACTTTGAACTTTGGTTAAAATTTACGCCTCTGCAATGTTTTTTTGTAATTACGAATCACTTAATTATCGTAAAGCTTTTTAAATATGTAATTTTTTTTTATTTTATTTATTTGATTTGATGCACAAAACAGATGTTCACTCTTTAACAAAAAAAACTTACACTAAAAGCAATTCTGAACTTGATTTTGTCTAACTAAAACTATGTAGCAACTGCAAAATTAAAGTGGTTACAATAGCAGTAATAGCTAAAAAGCGTAAATTCAAAGTGACTATTAAAGAAATGCTATCATAGTATAAATATTAAAGTTCCTCGTCACCAGTTCTAACGATGAGGTTCAGGTCAAGTCATTTAGGATAGCAACCAAGGCCACAATCAGTATTCATCCTACGAGGAGGTGTCTTTAATGACACTGATGAATTTATTAATAATGTGACAGAATATGTCCACAAGTAGTGATTGGTCTTTTCCATCTCGTTATTCACTTCGACGAGTTTCTTCATCCTGGTACACAAAGTTTTGTATCCAACCATCCGCGGCCGCGCACGAGATGACTTATTATTATCAAATTTGTTCGTCCACGATCTTTATTCATGGACTTGTGGAAATTGGGTTACGCACTTGTGAGGGGGGGGGGTCCAACACACCCAACCAAATTCCGTAAGTTACGCTAGTTGTTTTGTTCAGATGTCAAAACATAGATGTTTTGACTCAGTCTAAAGGAAAAAAATGCATTCTATACGTCTTATATCGCAATTCTGACATTATAAAAATTACACGTAGATTGAAACTTTCGGGGTTTTTGAAGGTGGTTAAAAACAGCAGTAAACACGCTAATAATAATTAACGTAAATTCAAAGTGATTGTTAAACAAATAGCTATTAGTATTTTTAGTTTAATTTCTTGGTTCGTTCGGGGGGGGGGGGGGAGGGGGGGGGGGGGGGAAAAAAAATTTTGGGAGAAAAAAAAAAAAAACTCATCGAAGTGAATGGCGGTTATTAGGGTGTGATTTCAGTTTACACAATGACTTTAAAATAATAAAAAAAAAAAAATGTCTTTATTCATTTTAAGCAGATATGCATTACAATGTGTAAGATTTGGGAACCCTTTTATGTAAAAAATACCGGTGTCAGGGTTCCCAGCTCTTCCATAACAAACTTAAATATAAATTAAAAAATAAATATATATTTATGTATAATCTAATTGATTATTTAGTGCAAACTATAACTACCGAATGTCAAAATCCAATACGTTTCTGACATAATGGAGTCACACTTAGCGCTAAATCTCGTTTTTGAATATCACCCTAGGCTACATACCTACTGGAAAACCTTACGAAACGAATCCTTTGTTACTGATCTATTAACTAATGTCTAATCCAATATCTGTAAATAAGTGACAAATGGTCACTTCGTTTTAATGCTCTCGCTTATATACTACACATAAAATTTCAGGTCTGATATGGTTCATTGTACCAGTATCTATGATAATCTGCAATGACGTGATGGCTTATATCTTTGGGTTCTTCTTTGGGAAGACGCCGCTCATCAAACTCAGCCCCAAAAAGACCTGGGAGGGATTTATTGGCGGCGGAGTGTCCACTGTAGCATTTGGTCTTCTGGTGAGTGCTTTTTCTTATTTTGAACCTTTAATACGAAATATGCGTAAAATTTTGGTATGGAATGTTTGATCAGTGCTTCTTGCGTTTATTTAGAAGCGAAGAAAATTAACGTTTCTATTAAATTACACAAATGTTTCGTGTCGTTGAGCCAAAATCCTCGAAAAGATGTTAATGAGGGACCTTCTTAGTGTTTCGTTATAATGATAACTAATTACAAATTGATATCTATTTCTCTCAGTAATCATAATTTTTTAACTTAATTCTTACTGCATACGTTGTAATCAAGATATAATTTATTCGTGTAGATAACTTAACACTTATGAAAAATCAGAAAAATTATGTTGTAAATTTACATTTACCGCCAGTTCTCAAATCAAGGGCGTAGAACCGACGAGAACTGGCAATAGACGCTCCGTCACTGTTTGCCAATCGTTTTCTTTATGTTTGTAAGCATCGCAACCATATTGTTTCTCATCACATTTTAATACAGTTAATTGTTATAATTAAATAAAAACATATTAATAAATAAATGACAAAACGATGCACCTCTATCAGCACATTGCAGTGGGTACAACACGCAAATACGAATCGAGGTAAACTAAGGCAGAAAATAATTAATACACAGCCGGGTAGATGTCGCAGTAAAGTAGTTAAATCAAAGAGTTAATTGAATCTCTAGACAGTTAATTAAATATCGATATTCAATCAACTCGCTAGCGTTTTTATTTAAATATAGCAGCGTCGAAAACGTTTAACTATCTGTCTGACCGAAAGCCAGCGTGTTGATTAATAATGTAAAACAAGATGGCGGTCACGACAACAGCTGATTACTTTTAGAGACTTTCTTTTGGCAAACGAAACTATTGACGAATTCCATGGCCAGCCATTGGCTACCTCGCCATATTGTAGTGAGAGACTCCCAACAAATCTAAATGTTAGATGTCCTGATGGCAAAATATGTCTTAGTCTTTTCAACGCCATTATCAACTTTTTAAATATGTAAAAATATCATGACTTTTTGTTCTAGCTATCGTACCTAATATCCCAATACCCATATCTGGTATGCCCCATTGAGTACTCGGAGTCTTTGGGCCGTATGACGATGGATTGCGAGCCCTCATCTCTATTCCGTCTGCACGAGTACACACCGCCTGACTGTCTTCTGCCGCTCGTGAGATTAGTGAGTATCTTGGTTTTTATATAGAACTGGTCAGACGTTTTTGTGGAGAACGTTCCTGAAATGCCTTTTAGTTTTGGAAGATATGCATGCAGGGAGTTCCATTCCTACGCTGTTTTAACAAATAACGACGATTCAAATGTCCAATCTTCAGCGCGCGTTGTACAATTAATCTTTATATATAAAATTCTACTGTACGTGTGTATGTCACTGAACTCTTGAACAGCTAGACCGATTTGAATGAAATTTGTATGCGTTTGGGTGGCACCCTGGATGGTTTAGATTCACAAATCAGCCCGGCAGATGGCGCTGCAGTTGGTACTGTCATACTTTGTTTTATATCCTAATCGCTTGAAATATCATGCAGGGTAATGTCTGTCGCGTCCGCTAGTATCTTTATGAATTATCCACATTTTAGTTTGTAAATATATATCCTTTGGATACCAAATACTTTTATATAATCTCATTCGGTAATATTCTAATTATGAAATGAAATATAGACATTTATTGGCATATTTTATTTACATACTTCTTTAAAAAAATTAACAAAATAAAAGCATTATTCTCCTAACAAAACAATGCTTTAAAATAATTGAAGACGTGAGTGGATGAAGATGATAAGTGCAATTTATTAGATTTTGAGAAAATTTAAGTTAAAGTTTTGCTACAATTTTCTTTTGTAAGTCGCTTAAATGATTAGTTATGCCGTGAATTTGAATGCAAAGTAGTGTGAATGATCCTAAATATTGAGGGTACGAGAAATAAAACTTTGCGATATTATTCGATATTATATTTAAAAAAACTTAACATAACTCCTTCTTCCATGAACTAACTTAAACTATTTGTCCTTACGGCTATATAAAATTAGGTGCTAAGTACGAATATGAATAAACATGTTAATTTTTTTTAATACACAGAACCAGCCTCTGCAAAAACTTAAGCTATTATATTATTATATCACACTTGTGATCATGCTATATATAAAAAGATACTATCCTTGGCTTAAAATTGACTCAAAAAAATAGCGATATTCTGGCTTCACGTACTTTAGTTGGTCTCGGAGATTTGTTTTTTCTACTGAAACAGTACCATACTTACCAGTCACACGTGGAATTTCTAAATTCGCGGACACCTTCGATTTCTTTTTAATATGTCCACCTTTTTAAACGGTGTCATTCATCGTACGATTCTTTGTATAGATAAGATCCATACTCCTCAACTCGAATCTATTTGATACCATCCCTAAAACTGATTTTTCTAGTTACTTTTTCCTATTTATTAAATTGAGATTATTTGAAGCTCACCAATTTTTCTGAAATGTTCTGTCATATTAATCACTGTATTATTACGAGAAGCTTTGCAAATGATATCACGGTACTGGTCAGGAACGAAAACTGTGTATGCTTTTAAGGACTTTTTTATTCTGCCAAAATCACGATCCGAATCTAAATAAGAATGGCCAACTTCAGGAAACTTGTGATCGATTACTTTGAAATATCCTTTAAGGATAAGATATTGATAAAGTGTAATTATGGTGAAATTTTTTTTTGGCCGGCACATGAATCTGACCAAATTATAGGTGATTTTGTTTTGGCAACTTGATTATTTCCACAAATCTTAGAAGTGCGCTCGCAACTTCGGACTTCCGCGGTCCGCAACATCTTCAGTCCAGGTACAACATACGTTTTTTTTGCTTCAATCACAAACATGAATACCCAGGGGCCACCAATGTGGTTCAGCAGGAAAACTAGAAATATGTTCTTTTATACGGTTAACAACGTCATCGTCCATTTTGTGAGGACGATTCTGATGTCTACCTCTCTGATCTGGTTTTGGAGCTGCAAGTCCTTCCTTGATTCCTTTTATAATGAGATCAATTTTTTGCGACCTACTGATAAATCCGCACAAACCTAACTTGCATATTTTTGTTGTAATTCCATTCTTTTTTACGTAGTATTGAAGGACGCAGATTTATGTTTCTAGCATTACAGCGTTTATTCGCTAAGGCATACTCTCAATGCTGCTGAATAAGGGCATTCTTACTATTGGTGTCCAGGGAATAATAGTGTTTAAAATAGACTGCCGATCATCAATGGAAAAATTATCTGAGCATTTAAGCCTGCACTTCTGTGACACAAAATCCCTACCTTAATTTTTTTTCGGAATTATCTCTCCTTTGTAAGAAATATTCCTCTCCTTTTGCTCTAGCTATTGCTGCATAATTTTTCTTCAAGATCATTCCTCGGCCTTTTTTTATTTATTTTCTTTTGGTGGAAATATTTGCTTTTTTGGCATAATATTTTCTTCCAAATCCTTATTTGCATGTTGTCACTAGTGGAGAAAATAATGGGGTTTTCCTGCGATCAGCATATTCATTGTCAGATTCATTCATTAACGCCACAAGAGTAGTGCTATCGGGGCTTTCAGGAATGTAAATGTTATCACTACCGGAAGAAAAATCTTCATTTCTATTGTGCAATGGAGATACATCCTCCAAGACTGTGTATGACTTTTTTGTTTCGAAAAGAAAGTCCAAAATAATCTATAGCTTCCCTGGGAATTCTCTATTACATCTGAAATTTCATCATCTAAGAGACAGGAACTTTCGCAAGGCTGCCAATATAATTTGTGCCTTGACCGCTAGTGGAGGTTCAGCGATTACGTAACTTTTGCATGCATCTGCAAGATCACACGCAGAGGATTATCTACAAAATCAAAGCCATAAGCAAAGAAGAAGGCATGCGATCAAATAGTAAAAAAATGTTAGTAAACACCGATCAGGTACAAGTCCAAACCGACCGAGTCCACCCAAAAATTTAAATATTGACATGTTTTTCCTCCTGCCATAAAATTTTTTCGTTTATTAACCTTATCCCTAACACATTTATTTTGACACCATTACAACTATGAGTGCAAAACAAAACATTATTACGAGAATGAACACTAAAAAAACAAAATATCATAGCGGTCAGCGTAGCCCCATCACCTCTTAGGTATGCCAAAATATTAATGAGTAACAAATGAAGTGTGGCACATTATAATCTTCAGTTAGCAGAAAAGTTCAAATAGTGTAGATACTGTGATTGAAACAAAGCAAGCAAATCAAAAATTAGTAAAGATCTAACCTGCAATATTTTTGAGGTTATGATTATTGTATAATCGTTTTTTGAGTATTTCGTTTACACGGTCACTTAAAGAGCGTTCACCAAAATATTTTTTTTGGTCTGATTTATTTAGAAATCAATAGTATTTTAAACAATATTTTACAAGTATCCAACAGACACAAATCGACAATAACAGAAGCGCGCGAAACTGCAACGAACGAACGTAATCAACATATTTGAACCTCTTGAGTGAATGAAGGTGTTATGCTAGCGACTTAACACCTTCATTCACGGAGAATAGGGTCGCTTTATTCGAACATAGTAAGCGCAGTGGTTATGTTCGTACATATCACCTTCTTCAACGCACAAAAAGTAAAGTTTTTATTTTGTTGATTTGTGAGAGGGTGATATGTGTACATACCTCTTTCATCGTTGTAATTTTTAAAATAAACTAAACATAACACCTTTTTTCAAAATTTTATTTCCAAAAATAAGTTTATATCGACGTTTAAGGTGTAGTAATAATAAATATCACCTTCATCCACTCACGTCTTTAATTGTTTAATTATTAAAGTACAATGTGTCCGACCAAGGAGGTTTCAATTTAATTTAAGTACACGTTGTCTGTGGTGAGCGCGCTGCGCGCGCAACGCGCTTGTTCCGAGCCAATAACAGATTTTTTCCAATTTGGCGCTATTTCGTACATCCGAATTTGAGTAATATTTTATTGGATAAAACTTTAGTAGCAAAAATATCAAGCAACACCGACGATACTGATGAAAATGTATCTCCACCTGAAATTCTAGAAACAGCTACGAAACTGATGAATAGTCTTTTGCCAGAAAAATCAAGAAAAAACTACACTACACATGTTTTAATACCCTCTATTATATGACAGTTGCATAAACTACTATTATTAACCGAACACGCTATATATAGCGCCTCTTTGTATACAAAAGTATAGGATTAGGTTGTTTAATAATAATAATATTATTTTTTTTATAACGTGACAAACGGCCTCACCTAATATTAAGTGATACCGCCGCCAGACACTCCCGGCACGCGTGGCCGGCATTTTAAGAGTTGGTACGCTCTTTTCTAGAAGGACCCTATGTCGAATTGGTTTGGAAATACTTCAGCGGGCAGCTGGTTCCACATGGTGGTTATTTATAAGTCACCCAATTATAAGAATATTCTGAACAGCTCGCAAATTTTGTTCAGAGTTCAATAAAATTTTATATTTCGTTCCAGCTCGGCCATGATACGATCACAATGTACCCATTCATGATTCACTCGCTGTCTCTCAGCATCTTCAGCTCTGTCATCGGACCTTTTGGTGGATTTTTCGCATCTGGATTCAAGAGAGCGTTCAAGATAAAGGTATGGTTTTTAAATAAACGTATATCACGAGGGGACTATATAATATTGTCATAGTCGTAGAACAGTGACGGATCTGACAAATAGTAAACTTTAAAGGCAGCCATTTCAAAATAATATAATCATGTTAGTTTTTTTGTCATAACTTTTTTAATTCATATTCTGTTATTATGAAAATTGGCATACAAGCAAACAAAAAGGGTTTGTTTTGAAACAAAATAAAAATTATAACATTAAATTATACAGTTTTCTAGAAAAATCACATGTTTCTATCAAACGTCACTTTACCGACTGATTAGTTTGAAATTTAAAACACATGGAATATTTTTTTAATGTAGTATCCAAATATGATAAAAAGTGGATTTTGGATTTTTTTTCACATCCGACATTGTTCTACGATCATGACGAATTTTATTAATGGGTCATTATTATTATTATTTGTCTTTCAGGACTTTGGTGACGTGATTCCCGGTCATGGTGGTATAATGGACCGCTTCGACTGTCAGTTCCTCATGGCGACGTTTGTCAACGTATACATCACGAGCTTCATACGCACAGCTACGCCACAGAAATTGTTACAACAGGTAATTATTTAAATATAAGTTCAATCAAGTCGGGAGAGTTGCCAAATAAAACTATATAAAAATCAATTTCGGTTCTGTTATTGCTCTCGGTTATCTATAAAAGCAATTCAATTTTCAATATACTCTTCGCCTAAATTGGGGCATCTTTTCTTCTGAGTTCTCCCACTTTCCTTAGATAAATTAACATCAATCAGAAAAGAAAATGGTTAATAATACCCAAACACTGCACCAGAGAAAAGTGCATCTCAATTCTTAAAGATCCGGCAACGCATCTTTTATTAGATTCGATCGTTCGAAAGTTGCATGTCCGTTCAAAATACGCAAGTTTCAATGTTACGTTTTTTTTTTGTTTTTTTTTGTTCGTGCCTTGTGTCTTGTGATCAGTGATGGCCTGAGCGTGCACTTTCATACCTGAGGTCGTACACTATTTCTATGTGCGAAATTCAACACTCGCTCGTACGGTGAAGGAATAGTATAGACCCAGAGTAGACAGCGTGTGTCAGGCACAGAAGGCTGATGACCTACTTGCCTATTTCACTTTTGCTAAGGCCATGGGTTGTAGCGCCAATAGGTTTTTTTGTGCCAGTTATTACCTTGACTTCCTGGTCAGCCCATTTTGATAACTCCATTTATCCACTAAATATGGTTCCAGGTGTACAACATGAAACCAGAACAACAGCTGCAACTCTTCTATGCTCTGAAGGAATCGCTTGAACATCGGAACATATTAAATGCTATACATTAAAAGGTAGATTTTGGTTGGGTAGTTTCACTATTTTTTAAATGGTTTAAATTTGACACGTGTACGATCGCAAAACTTTTAAATTTGACATACAAGTAGTAGTCAATACTTTAACTGTTATACTCATTATAGTTAATTGGAAAGAGGTTAAAGTTAATTACAGTTTATATGATTACTTTATATATTAAATTATGTCAACTTATGTAGAAATATCTATAGTCAAATGTGTTATGCAATTTTTTTTTTTAGAAACATTTTATGCTATGCGTATACGTATACAAAACGTATACGCATAGTATAAAATGCGTATACGTTTGTACGTACAACGTACTAAAATTATTTTATTTTTTATATTACCATCGTCTTCAACATTCTGAGACCCTTTGGTAGATATGTTTTTCGTAAGTTATATTAGAAAAATTATTGTTGATTCTGTTGTGAAACTACCCTAAAGGTATGACATATCTGCGTTGTCAGATTTTTTGTTTCAGTGCTTACATTACTTTTTTATTTTTTTGATCTCAATTAATTTACAGCGTATGATAGATAGAAAGATCTTTAGAGAAAAAGTACACTACTAAAACATAATATTATTTTATAACGTTCTTAGGCCATCGTGTGTTTTGATTAATATGAATATTATGAAACCATGGTAACATGATACTTTAGTCCACGATAATGTCAGAATAAAAGCAAACTGCTGGGACGTCGTTACGTCCATGTCAATTGTCAACACGAAACGAAAAATCTGACATTTGACAACGTTCTTAAGAACGGCATTTAATCTAGTCGTTGTGCAATCGTTTACTATCGGCACAAGAAATAAAACCAATTTCAAAGTAAACGAAACACAATTTTTGAATATACACCACCCTCTTCTATAGTCTGCGCAACGAAAATGAAGCATTTAAAAAATAACTCATAAATAATTAAAATATTCATATTTCAGGGCGCAGACTAGTTTAGTATTGCTATAAATACCATAGATTAAAAACGCTTGCGTAGTAGTAATTGTTAACTGTGGAATAGTTATTAGTCTATATTTAGTTATTGGTCCTATTTGGGAAATGGCTCGAATTATATTTTATTAAATGTTACATACATAGTACTATTGTATAGTTTTCTAATTCTCATTATTTCTGTTTTTATGTTAGGATTGTTTTGCTGCGTGAGAGTGAAATAAATATCCCATCGTAGGGAACTTAGCGAATATAAATTAAATTTATTGTTCATACATATATTAAAATATGGATTATTCAAATTTCCTCTTATAAAACACAATTCATAAAAATTTTAAAAATGTTACGAGACTTATTTATTATGAATGGGCTAGAATTTATGTGTCCACAAAATAATTTAAAATAGGCGTGACTTTCATTATTTTCATAACTTCGATTAACATATTTTGGCGCCTTTATCATTTAATATTTTCAAGTGCTTCATATAACGTTATACTAAATATTTAAAAAATATAATTGTCGTATTTCTCTACGCGAGTCGGTTTGAAATATAAATAGATAAATTGGGGCTCAGATATGTCGATATAAAGACTCAAATTATGTTTTTTTTAAAGATGGCGGCGTTTCGAGTTGCCATGTGCCAAAAATCTTTCTCACTAATTTGAAGATTGAATTAAGTCTGAAAGGATTTGCTTATACTCTATGATATAGAAAACAATAAAAAAAACATTCCTAATTCGAATTCTTTTGAAATTTATTTTTTAAACGTATTGGGTATTTTACCATATGGTTTTTGACACAGGGATTTGCATTTTATGCTCTAGACTGATGGACTGATTTTCTACTAGAGGGTCAGAAGGAATCAGCGGTTTTAATAAAAAATTTAAAAATTAACGGGCTTATTATAAAACGTGAAGATTTGTTACCATGGTTACCATTATTTCAGTAAGGAAATACCATCGTAATCATAGTAATAAATACGATTCTAACTTTACACCACGTTTTATTATTTAAAATCGCCATTTAAACGTCATATTTGCATACGACATACAGCACCAAAAGAGAACATCATAAAATTGACACACTGACAATGCCAAATCGATGAATGTCATATAAAATCACTCTTTTCATCTTAGTGTTTGTAATCTATATAATTTAAAACGCATATTCTTCTTTGAACACACATTAAGAATCATTATCACTGTATGTCTATTAAAATTAAAAATATATACAAATAGAGGATTTATTACGGGTTGCGCGGTAAGAAAAAAATAAACTATATATGTTAGTGTTAATTGGTGTTTTCTGTTTTGTGGGTAGTTTAAAATGTTGCGTTGCATAATGTAAGGTAGAATCACTAGAATAGGTTCGGCTAACCGGGTTTATAGTAGAAGCTTGCGTGTTTTTCCTGTAATCAATCATTTACTGCATGTAATACAAATTTATTGTGAACTGGAATGTGGGTATTTAAAAAAATATCTTCAAGTTTTCGTTGTTCATTCATTGAAAATACTCTATAACAATTTGTACCAGATAATAAATCTGGTATATGTACCTTTACCGTCCAGGGTTATGTTAACTCCTGTCTATAAATATATAGAAAATTGCCCCGAATTATAATTTTTAAAAATATAATTGGCATTGCAATGGCATTTTTAAAAATATAATTTTTTAAAAATACTGAGTTTAAATAATTTTTCGGTAATTATAATTAATATGTTAAACACTGTCAGTTCCGAAATTCTACCTCGCTCTGTACACGTTTTATTTATACTATGTTGTGGTGTTTTATTTGTCTATAAGTTAGCAAATTTTTTGTCTTTATTATTTCCCTTTTTTTTATTTACGACAGGTTTTTAATGATTTTGATTCTAAGACTGTAAGCCAAAAGCGCTTCAGTTTCACAACTCTTTGGGAATCGTTTTATTTTATTGATAAATATTTAAAATCATCAGATTTTGAGGGTTGTGGAAATTTAAGTTTGGGAGCGTTCAAGTATTACGTAACGCAATTTTTGGAGATTAGAACCCCCCTCCATGTTACTCGCCGTAACGTTATTCAGTACCCAAGTATAGTAAAACGATTCGTGGCCACCTAATGACTCTTTAGTTACTATTTTGTGGTGTAAGTCGAAAAAAATATTAACAATAACGCGTAATTTAATCCCCGCCCCGCATCGTAACGTTTTACAAAAGGACACACCACCCCCCAAATACGTTACGTAATACTTGAACGCTGCCTTTTGACGATGCAAAGTTCAAAGTTATTTCTGTTATAAATTGTTTAAATATAAAAGTAGTTAACATCGCAAATGTTAAAGAACTGACAACTGTATGGTCCATTTAGTTGATTTTTATAATAAATTTTTATTATTCGAAATGTATAATAATAACACGTAATTACTCAAACCAAATAAATATTTGCCAGTTCTTAGTTCAATATATTTTACCTTTTAACTGACAGTTAAATTGTGCTCGAATACGTAAATACGAATAGTTAACGCTATAGAATAGTAACTGTAAATCGCTTGGAAAACTTGAGCAGCGCTCCGTGGGCGCATTTGAACTAAACGGAAGAACACATAGTGTGAATAGACTTTCAGTAGTAAACTATATGAGTTATCGAAAAACTCTATTGTATTTACGTATTCATATGCTATATGTACCGGTTTAGCATATATATACGTTCTCGTTCATAACATTTGCGGATTCTCATTGTAAATTCGATTCACTAAATATAAGAGAGATTGCACCATTACTATGTTCTTAAACTTTGATATCCTATTGTCACAAAGTTGGTGTTAAGTAGTATGAGATCTGATCTTCGTAAACATTGAAGCAGGATTTTTGGTTTTGGTTCTTACCCACACGTTCAGACTTATTAAGGAGAATAATTTTTCATTATTTCTATTACGATACTTGACCAAAGATCCTTTCAACCTTATTTATATTTCTATGTTATTGTTTTTTTTATAAACCATTTATAAATTTACTAGTCTTTTAGCCTGGCCTGTAATTACGGTAATTAAGCCCTTTTTTTTATTAAAAGTATCGTTCGGAATCTGAGTTGGACGTTTGCGTAAAATAGATGTATGAAAAATAGCTAACGCGTAATATATTTACAAACATTGCGTGTTTAAAATTTGTCAAACTGTTCGACTTGGAAATGTCAAATATTGTGCTTAAGTGTTTACGAATAATGTTCAATACGTGTCTTAGCGATAAATAGATGTATTATTTATTATGATGGATGTAATGAGGTAAATAAATGATTAATTTAAATTTGTCTTTTCTTTTAATGAGGTCGAAGTTGAAAAGTTTTATCGATCTGGAAAAGCAATGGGTACTAAGAGTTTATATAAAATATATAATTTATTATTTTGGCAACACAGTGTACTACTGTGTCACTTCTCAAATTTAGGGCGTAGAATGGATGAAAACTGGCAAAACTGTCACTTTTTAATGTAGTTTCAAGATGCATATGCCCAGCATATAATATAATAATAAATAATGTGGAGAAATGATAGTGTATTTTTTTTAAATATATAGGTTGGCCTAGGTACCGCTTGATCGACTTGGACCAGCTGCATAATATTACTACCCGGCCAGCTGCATAATAACTATGGCATTGGCGAAAAAGCGCTAAATCTTGTGGAATCATACCTGAGCGATAGAATTCAAAAGGTATATGTAAATGGAGCTATATCACAGGGATCCTCTGTTACTATGGGAGTACCGCAAGGCTCCATACTTGGTCCCTTCTTATTCCTCGTCTATATAAATTACCTGCCATTTCTTGTAAAGGAGCTTCACGAGATAGTACTGTTTGCTGATGACACTTCGCTTTTATTTAAAGTGAAACGACAAAATACATCACACAATAAACAGTGCCATCTCCAGTGTAGTTCACTGGTTTAATACAAATAATCTTAAGTTAAACGAAAAGAAGACAAAATGTGTTAAATTTGTAACTACAAATGTAAAAAGTAGTCATTCTCAAATAATAATTAAAGACGAGGAAATAGACTTTGTTGATAATGCGGTG